ACAGCTCCAACTTTCAGTTTGATCATGAAAAGGTAAGCATTACCGAAAACTTGCTGTGTATGTGAAACGCCATCAGTAGCTCATTTGTGAAATAGAAGAACTGAATTACTGTGGTAAGCTAAAAATATTAGGAGAAGTTTGTTTGTCAGATGCTGAAAAATGAAAGGACAATTGTTTTAGTCCAATCTGAATGCGCTGCAACTTAATAGAATTACAGGAAAAATGAAAATAAGGCAGGAAAAGTATCAAAAATAATATGGTGAAAATGATGGAGAAAATATTAATAATCAGTCACTTATGGTGGTCATTTGAGGATAAGAAGAGGCTAACTGCAATTTTTATTATGTGTCTCTGCATACATACAAATGCAAAAACGCATGTTAGCACGAGGTTGTCTGCGCCTGTGTGACTGTGTTTTCGCACTTTTTGACACCCACTTTAAACTCAAGAACCAAAAAACCAGAAGGCTGAGATTTTGGAAGTATCTACCCACTCCATATGCAAACTTCCCGTTTTTATGCGTTTTTTTTTTTGCATCTGTGCAGTGCAAAAATGCATTCCATCGGGGGTGAAGTGAAAACAAATTTTTCGACTTTTTATTCGTTTTTTGCATCTATTCAGTGCAGAAAACGCATATTGGCAAGGGATTGTCTGTGTGCACATGTCTGTATGTGCTTGTATTCGTCTATACCGATTTTTTATCTCAAGACCAGTAAAAGCTACAAGGCTAAAACTTTTGGTACCATAATCTGCATGCATGTATGGGCCTCAGTCTCCAAAATAGGCGTTCTTGCCCGCGCAGTACCCAGGTACGGGCTCGCCGAAGTTCCTAATGGGCATGCTGCTAACTCGAGAACCAGAAAAACAGAAAGGCTGAAATTTTGAGGGGAATTTCTTCGTCCACGTGGGTCTCAATGAATTCAAACCCATCTCCCGGGTATGCGTGGTTCCCACATAAGTACCTGTGAAAGTTTTTGCGAATAATTTACTTACTTAGAAACCAGTGAAAATAGAAAGCTGAAATTTTAAAGGGATGTTTTTTGTGATAGCCAGTCTCAGCCCTTTTTGCTAGAAGCATCTGATGGAAAAAAAACAGTGCCGTTGGCGGCAAAAACCTGCGGAGAATTGCACAAAAAACGTATCTTCGCACCGACAGTCGGTGCGCTGGCCAATTATGATATCATCCGCTTACGCCTGGTTTCCGATTATGGGTACCTTAAAAAACATGCGTATTTTTTGACGAGAAACGGACTCGGGAATCAGAAAAGATAGAGAGTTAAAACACTGCATGGGTATTCTCTGCGCATGTGCGAGCCAAAGATTTCAAATTCAGCCGCTACTTGTTCTTGTTTCTTACATACGGGCATGTGAAACTTCTGGCGGGAAAATTGCTATCCCGAAAATCAGAAAAGTTGGAAGGCTGAAATTTTAATTAGATGTTTCCCATCTACCTACAACTTAAAGTTTCAATTTCAGCCTAGGTACGTGTGGTACTCACGTACGGGCATGTCACTAACTCGGTAAAAAAAAGCTAGAAAGCTGCAATTTTAGGGGAGTGCTCCTGTACAGTTACAACTTGAGGATTTCAAACTCAGCCTTCAAGTATACGTGGCTCCCGCGTACGGGCGCTTAAGACTTTGGCGACAAAACTGCTCGCTGAAACATTGAGTTATTTTAAAGGGACGATCACTAAACGGATATAGTTCATTTTCACTTATTCAAAATTTACGATAATTTACACTAGTGAGCGCACTGTGCAAGTGTAAAGCAACGAGTTGATTACTTTATGTTTGGTGCAAAAAAGCATGATCGCGCCGGCAAACCTGATGCGTCATAGCTTGGGTTCTACTTAGTAAACTGAGCTCAAACATGGAAGATTCAACAGCCTGGAGTTTTACACCCTCAAAATATTTGTAATTATGCGTTTCTGCTGTGCAGCGCTATAGCACTGCTATAGCGAGCAGAAAAGCGTATAGTCGAGAAGCCGTCTGTGTGTGTTTGGAAGCAAGTGAATTTTGTTATCCACTTCAACTCAGCAACCAGGAAAGCTGGTAGGCTGAAATTTTGGGGTTATATTCCTACCCCGTGTGTCACCCTTCTTTTTTAAGATCTTCCCCCATACGTGACTACATGTCGTGTACGGACCCCCGAAAAAATATGAAAATTTCTTTAGCGAGAAACGATTTTGGGAACCAGATAAGATAGAAAGCTGAAACTTTTGCAATGATTCTATTTGCTTGTTTGAGCTAAGATTTCAAATCCAGCTACTGCATACGCTTGTGCAGCGCGTACGGTCACGTCAAAGTTTGTATCTGGAACTGTACCAACTCCTGAACTAGCTGGAAAACAGTGGTTGAAATTGTGTCAGAACATTTGTAGTCCATATTGAGAAATTGTACACCTAAAATGAGTTCCGATTTGCACTTGCGCCAGGACTTAGGGCACTGCAAAGATATTTTTAGCGAAGCGGCTATTTCGCTTACCGTTTAAAGTGTGAGGCTGAAACTTCGCTGAAACTCCGATATTCTATTTTCAAATGCGATCGTAACTCTGCTTGGAAGTGAAATTCCATGCAGGTGGTTATGACAAATACTCGACTTTGCCACAAACTCAGAAACGAATGCATTTTGAGGCGAACGGCCACCATCATCTTCTCCCAACGTCCAGTTTATTTAAATATTCGGGTTTTTTGACGAACGATGGCTCTAGCAACATTTCCACTTTTCAGCGAAAAACTGGAATTGGATGCAGGGGGAGGATGAGTGCGGTCATTCGCTGCAAAATGCATTCGCTTCGGAGTGAAATCTTCGTAAAAATCTGAGCAAAAACGCAACCTCGCACTGGCTAGCCTGGTGCATTTCAGACTGGGTTTGATATGCAGCTGAATTCATGAGGAAATAAGCAGTTGATTAAAAATGTGAAAGAATTGCTTTTAGGATTTTTCTGTGATGGTGACAGAAGAGTTTATCGAATATGTGCAGGAAGATGCATTATCCGTGGAAGTGTGGGGCCACCGAAGCAGTGGCTTTGGTAATGATTTTGTGCCATCAACAATTGCGAATGGAATTATTGACGTTGAGCAAAGCTACAAAAGTTTGCAGGTCTGCTATTTTTACGTGTTTTGTGCTGTGTAATAGCAGTACAAAAACGCATATTGTTACGGGGTTGTCTGCGTGTGTGTTTGTGTGTGTGTGTGTGTGTCCGCAGCAACTTGTCCGCATCTTTCAACTCGGGAACCACAAAAGCTAGGAAGCTGAAGATTTAGGATAACGTTCCCCACCCAGTGCGACCCCGCAAATTTAAATTCAGCTCCCCCGCACCCGCGGGTAACGCGTACGGCCTCGTGAAAGTTTTTTACGGGTAAGTTAATATCTCGGGAACCACGAAGTCCAGGAGGCTGAAATTTTAGGATAATAACCCTCTGCCCACGCTCAATCTTGCCCATTCAGATTCAGCTTTTCTTTACCCGCGGGAAACACTTACGGCCCCGTGAAAGTTATTCAGTTGATATCTCGGGAAGCACGGAGTCTAGGAGGCTGAAGTTTTAGGGTAATGACCCCCTGCCCGCGCTCACCTTGCCCATTCAAATTCAGCGTTTTCGCACTCTCGGGTACCACCAACGGCCTCGTGAAAATTTAGGCGGGTAAACTATTAACTCGGGAATCACTGAAAGATATTCATCCTTCAAGGTTTTGAATTCAGCTTTCATGCGCTGGTGCGTGAAATTTTTAACTGTTTTTCAGTGTTTGAACTATTTTTGCATAGACTAAAGTACAAGAAGTGAAAATCATTAACAGGCAATCGTTCGGTGGGCAGAATTGCACAAAACGCATGATCGCACCGGCTAGTCTGGTGCGCGTTGCCATTTATTGTATTTGTAAACCGAACAAAGTTATAAACTGAAAGTTCTTGTAGTTTAGTGCGCCAAATAATGTTGACAGTGCAATTTAAAACTAATTTTCAATCGTTACTGTAATTTGGCCGCTGTTTTATGGCCCAACTTTTGGAAAATATGCTGTAAAATCGAAATTTTCGAATTTTACTTCAAAGCGTAGTGCGAAGTAATAATTTAAAACTGGCTTTATGATTCATCACGCTTCCTGTCCCGTGACTTTTGCATAAGCATTTTATCGGAAGTCGATTTTTTTTTTGCAGGAGCGTTGGGCCGAAGTAACACGACGAATTGAGCTTCATGTTGATATCAAGGAAATGAACGATATGGGCCAATACGTCTCAGTCGAAGTGCATCCATCCAATGATGTG